AAGTAGTCCTCCCCCCAGTCCTGCATGTGGTTCCACACTTGGGTCAAGAAAAGCCCCAAGGTCTTCAGATTCCCATCATATTTTCTGGTTAGGGGGGGAATTTTTGGTTTTTTGCGTCTTTGGGGTGGAGCTTGCAAGGCTGGGGGTCCCTGGGCTGCTGCATTCCTCGCTTGAGCTCCAGAAGCCTTAGATGTTTCTTCCCCAGCTTCCTCTTCCTCTCCCCCACAGGCTGTCTCTTCTGGATCCACCCTGGGGTAGTCTCTTCCCTTCCCCACAGGGAATACATAAGACTCATGGCTTTTCCGGCTTTCCTCGGCATCACGGAGGAGTTGCATCACTTGAGCAATCATGAGGCTCTCCTTTTGCTCTTGCAGCCACACTGCCTCTCCCTTACAGGGTCTGGAGCTGGTTACTCCTTGGGGGGTCCTCCCCAGGTCCAGCAACCTTCCTACTCCCCTCGACCATCTAGCTTCCTCTGGCTCCTCTCTCAGCCAAATTTTTTCCATCCATTCCACAGCTTCCTTCTCCGCTTGAAGTGAAGTGATCATAGAGCCAGAAGCTCCCATCTGATCTCCTTCACTCTCTTGGTCAGACATATTTTGGGTTCAGCCGCTCGGTGTTTGTCCGGGATGGCTGGAGATGAGATTCTGCTTAATGTCAGGTGTGCTTCCTTCAAAAGTCCAGGAAAGAATGACCCAAACTCCATTGTTTATAGAGAAAGGTACTTTTACTAGAAAATGAAGTGAACGCAACCAAAGGAAAGCAGAATCTAAGGCAACAAGCGCGAAAATTGCATATAGAAAGCATCCCCTCCCACTGTCCACCGTAAATCATCCAATCCAAAGGTCTCTCAGGGGTCAGGTGGAAGCATATGTCTGGCAGCATCATCAATCAGGATTGCCATGACCGTTGACCCGACAGCAGCTTCAAAGATAGAATCCGTTGGTTTAAGTATCGCTTTTGATTCCTCCAGATTCCTCCAGCACGCTTCCCCCCCATGCTACCTAGGTCTCCCCCCTCCCGTTACTATGGCAGCCAAAGCAGTAAAGGTGGAGGCTGACACTCCCTTTGACAGAATTGCTAAAAATTGGCCCATCTCCCACCAAGCCAAAACCTAGCCATCCCTTAGCTTGAACAATGGACTGCCAAAAATCCTTCAAACAATTAAAATGCCTATTTGCAGTGGAGCCAATCCTACACCATCCTGACCCAAATAAGCCCTTTGTGGTACAGGCGGACGCAAGTGACATGGCGGTGGCTGCTGTTCTACTGCAAAGGGACTCCCAAAACAATCTAATGCTGTGTGCTTATTTATCAAGGAAGTTAACCGACATTGAGCGCAGATGGGCAGTGTGGGAGAAAGAGGCATTTGCAGTATGATGGGCTCTCCTATCCTGGAGACACTTCCTGGAGTGGGTTGAGGAACCTTTTGAAGTTTGGACTGACCACAAGAATCTCAAGGCGCTGAAGACCCTGAGGAAACTTTCTGCCAAGCAGGTTCGTTGGGCTCAATATTTAAAATGCTTTAACTTTAACCTGAAATACATCCCTGGGAGTAAAAACCTTCTGGCTGACTCTCTCTCCCGTAAACCCCAGTTTGACAGCCAGCATAATCTCAGAAACTCAGCCAGCCACCCAAGCCCGCACCAGGGTTCCAACCTCCCCAAAGACAAGTTGACAGTGGAGCTAAAAGCGGTGCTTTCCACTGACTCCTGGTTCAAGAAAAACCAGGCGGACCTAACCCTAAGAGACAGGTTGGCATGGTAGGGGAGTAAACTTTACGTGCCCCGCAGCCTGCAGCTCCTGGTGCTGAAGAGGAGTCATGACTCTCGACTAGGGTGCCACTTTGGGTTTTTAAAAACCCTCCATTTGACTAGGAGACAATTCTGGTGGCCAAAGATGAAAGCAGACGTGGAAGACTATGTGAGGAGCTGCACCACCTGCGTCATCATGACGTCCGACCAGGGAAGTCCTCTGGACTTCTCCAGGCTGTGGCCGAACCCACCAAGCCCTGGGAGGAGATTGCAATGGACTTCATAGTTGAACTCCCTGACAGTGGGGGGTAACCAGGTTATTTGGACTGTCATTGATTTATTCTCCAAGCAAGCACACTTCACTGCTTGCAGCGGACTACCATCGGCCAAGAAACTGGCAAAGCTGTTTGTGAGACACATCTACAGGCTACATGGAGTCCCTAAGAGAATAATATCGGACCACGGGGTCCAGTTTACTGCTAAATTCTGGAGGGAGTTTCTGCGATCCATTGAGTCATCCCAAGGATTTAGCTCAGCTTTTCACCCATCGACTAATGGATCAGCTGAAAAATTGAACTCATTGGTGGAGTAATACATTAGGTGTTATGTAAATTATCAACAGGAGAACTGGGTGGACTTGCTACCATTCGCAAAAGTGACTTATAATAATGCAGTACACACCAGTACTGGGTTTACTCCTTTTCAGATAAATACGGGCATGGATTTTGTGCCGATGGCTGAATTGCCTACAGAGCCACCTACTTCTATGTCCTTTTTTAAAAAAAAATGTATTGAAAATTATTAAAAAATACAGAAAAAAAGTATAACAATATAGATAGAATTGCAGAGAGTAATATAATACATATAGAGTTTTAAAGTATCAATTTTCGCCTAGAGAAAGTACAAACCTCCATTAAGCCAACTCATCAAAAGAAAGAAAAGTTTATCCAGCTGCCTACTTCTATGTCCTTAATGGAGTGAATGACCTCGTTGAGAAGGGGTTGGGAGAATATAAAAAAAGCTTTAGCGGAGTCAGCGGAATGATATAAGGCCGACAAACGCCGGTCCCTCCAACCACTGTACCGAATAGACTATAAGGTGTATTTGTCAACCAAATACCTAAGATTTAGGGTACCCAGCAAGAAGTTTGGACCCAAATTCATAGGTCCCTTCCCTATAGTGAAAGTGATTAGCCCAGTGACTGTCCAACTTAGACTCCCTTGCATCTTAGGGAAAGTACACCCCGTTTTCCACAGTAGCTTATTGAGACCGGTCAGAGAATCTACCCTAAGACCCTTGCCATCTGCTCCACCCCCTCCTTTGGTAATGCAAGGGGAGACTCATTATGAGGTGAAGAAAATCCTGGACTCTAGACTCTATAGAGGTATTTACAATATTTGGTACATTGGAAAGGCTATCCTTTGGCTGAAGCTACTTGGGTTAAGAGTTGGGATGTAAATGCTGATGCGCTCGTGAAACAGTTTCATGACAAATTTCCTGACAAACCGAAAGGTCCTCCTGGGGGTGGGGGGGGGAGAGGGGGTTAAAGGGATTGGTGCTAGGTGTTAACCCCTTCTTTTGTGTTTTGTCTGGGGGAGGTGGTTCTTTTTGCAGGGGGGAACGCCTGTCAGCTTTGGAAGTCATATTAGGCCAGAAGCTCCAATGTTGCCACTTTCTCATGTGTGGGAAAGTAGGAGAGGGGGTTGGTAGACATAATAGCATTCTTCCTGTCGGTCAAGGTCAGTGCAATCCTGCATCTGGAGAAGGAGGGTCAGGGGCCTGGATCGGGATGGAACGGACGTTGATTGGAGCATGTGACCGACTGGGTGGAAAAGGGGATGGTTTTGGAAGCTTTGACTTACTAAAGGAAAACCCAGGCTTTTCAGATTCAGGTTTTCCCCAGATGTGCCAGTTTGCCTATTCTAGTAAAGAGAACTTTGGAAAATGCTTGCGTCTGCGTCTTTACTTGGAGTGGGGGGATTTTCTGGAACGCTGACATTAGCAGTGAAATCTGTGGAGATAGAACATACAGTGGGTGCTCTCAAGTTAAATTCCACTAAACCTTTTTCAAAGCAAGAAAGTTAAATAATTAATTCTTGATGATGCTCATTTAACAATGAAGTTTGTGGATATCAGGAGGGAGATGTTTTATATAGAGAATTTAAGGTGGGAAATAGGGGATAAATTTATTTTTCTTCTAACAGAAGAAAAAGAAGTGAGAAACTTTTACATACACATACACAAACCCTGAAAATCCATGTTCCTGTTTTTTTGTCATCATCTCTTTGACTACAGCAGTCTTCCAAACAAATGTTGTGTAGTCCCCAAGCACTAGAAAAATCCACTTGAATCACAATGAGGCATGAGAAAATAAGAAAGCATATGTAACTGAATAAAGACAATTGTGAAATACCAAATGCTTCTAAGTTCGACTTTATCTGGAGCCCATCCATAAATATGACATGCCAGATATTTTCTTTTTGTCAACTTCTTGCTGGCAAGTCTCTTTGATATAATTATCAATTGTTTCCAACTGTGATTGGCCATAAAAATCCAGTAGCAAACAGGACATGAACTATCCTGGGGCTGAAGGAGTTGGGGAGTTGAAAAGACTAAACATTCTATGTGGCAGCTATCTGTCCATCCATGTTCTAAAAAATAAAATCTCCCTCAAGTTAAACTCAATTCTTGGAAAATACACAGATATGTCCATGCTATTTTCTTGGCAGGGAAATAAAAACAGATTGGCATTGATTTTCTTTCTTTCTTTCTTTCTCATTCTTTCCTTTCTTCCTTTCTCTTTTGTCTTGCTTTCACTTTCTTTCTTTTTTCTTATTTATTTCATTATTATTTTATTATTTTGTTGTTAACTTCCCAGTATACCTTAGAAACTATAGGCTCACCCAAGTTCTAACCAGGCCAAACTCTGCTTAGCTATATAAAAAACAGTCAAGAACTACTAAACTATCCACTCTAGTCTAGCAGATATTTAGATGGTAGATCCACACAGACACACACTTTTTAAGTTCAGCTTTATTTTGAGTTTTGGAATGGCTTCCATTGCTTGCTGTATTCTGATTTTTGTAGGTATAGACACATTGCAGCATTTGAATATATTTTGCAAAGACTTCATGACTGCTCTACTAAGAACTAGTTAGTGGCATATTTCTTGACTGCTTGTTCCTTTAATGATTGATGCTAAAAGTCAGAGGTTACCTACCACTTTGTTATCTTCATTGCCAAGACTAAAGCTGGTGATTCTGCCTGCATTTTCCCCCTTTAATAACTTTCTTCATTACTTCTCAGTCTTATTTGCCTTAGTAAAAGAAGAAGGTGGTTAACTCTGTTGTCAACTATGAGACAATGGAGTACAAGGAAAACTACACACAGCATCAACAGCAGAAAAAGAACAGGCATCTTAGAATTTAATAGCCATTTACAATAGATGATTCAAAGTATAGAGTAGCATGGTGGCTTGTGTGGTTTAGGATGCTGGGATGGAGGCTAGCAAGCCCACATTTGAGACCCAAGTGCTACAGTGAGGAGGGTTGAGCTCCTGTCCTTCACTTTCATGCTAGGGACATGAAAGGAACCTACAATTGCATGTCCCTTGGGTAAAGGTGATGTTACCAGCTAATCCTTTCAACCCAGAAATGCCTCAGTGCTTCTCATATGAGTGCGATGCAATTCAAAGCATCATGGTCAGTATGTACAGTATGTTCCCCCATGTCAGTATGGGGAGAAAGCTTAACTTCCTAGGGGAAAAAAACTATTCATCAAGGAATTCCTTTAAGGGCAATGGTGGCTGTTTGCAAGTGAGATAGTTTGATGCTAGGAGAGAGGAGACCTTAAAAAATATTTCTCTCTCTGAACCAGCTGCAGCTACAAATAGGTGCTATATTCACACCCCATGCACTCCAAAGCCCCTTGTTGCAACTAAATCAAAAGTACTGCATAGCCCTAGTAAATACCCTGTCAAGGTGACTTTCATAAATCAATATATAATATAAATAACAAAAAAATCCAACACTGAAAGACTCAAATCAATAAAACATCATACAAATTAGCTAGAAATAATATAAAAATATGCATCCAAATAAAATATTAACAGGCACAAGGATGCAAAGGCTACTTTTCCTCCTGATAATGGAAGGTGGAAGATAGACCCATAAGCCTACACCCTACATTCACACACTGAAAGCAAACATCTGAAAAGGGTATAGTTGCTTGTTACCAATTCCTTGGGACATAATGGGAAATATTCTCTTTTTCATTTTGCAAAGTGTTTGCAGTATTATCATAATCTAGCAAGCCCCCATCCTAAGAACTTTGAAGGTAACATAGATAGTTAGTGCAGTCTGCATTCTGAAAGAAAATTTGGGGATTACAGCCAATAGGAGAAAACCAGTTCTGGCAAAACTGTGGGGAATAATTGAGCTGGCTAATGTATCTTGCTGGAGTCAAAGGATTGGGTCACAGATTTCTGTCAGCAAATCTCCCAAGTTGTGGGAAGCAGAGAACTCTGGATCAGAGCAAATACACTGAAAATACAAAAAGCTCAAATTAAACCCCAAGACATAAAACCTCCCACTGCACATTCAGCTGGTGGCTTTCTCATTCCTTTCAAGTAATGCAAACATTCACATCTCCTTTGTAGCAATATAATATAATTTTGTTTCCTCAATAGCTGTAGGGAACAAAAAATCAAGGAGCATTGGGAATTTGTTTTTTGAGGGAGGGGTGAGATAAAATATCAGTTCCATATATAGTAACCAGTTTAACTAGCTTGGTGTTGTGATTTAGGTCCTGACCTAGAAGCCAGAAGTTCTATTCCCTCTTTAGACATGATAGCTGGCTGGGTAACTTTCCGCCAATCACCAGGAGACTGTGAGTTCTAGTTTAGGCATGAAAGCCATCTGGGCGATTTGGGCCAATCACCAGGAGATACTGAATTCTAGTGCCTCCTTAGGTATGAAAGCTGGCTGGGTGACTTTGGGCTAGCCCTAACTACCTCCTATGTGGGAAAAATAGAGACAGGAGGATTAGGTATGTGAAATAAAAATCTAGGACTTCCTATTGGCGATATTGCAGCGGAGCGGTGGAAGGAGAACATCTCTGTTCTCTAACCTCAAATTTTTTGCATTTTGGGGACCCTTCGGGGCGCAGAAAGCCTGGAGGGCATTGTGGACTAGAGGGAGAGTCCAGAGTGTGGTGAAGTGAAGGGCGATCACTCGTTGCATGAATGGACACCCCTGTTGAACCATCGCAAATGTGTCTAACAGCTTGTTATGGCAGACTTGAGGCTGTGATGAGCCAGTGAGTATAGGGAAGAGAAAATTTTTACAGCAGATGGTGTCATTTTAAGCGACTACCTCGAATACCACAAGATTAAAGATCATTTCTAAGAACTAAGTGCGGTCTTAGCTGGTTAAAAGATTTCCAGGGAGAGAACGAGCGGCGATTTGGCAGAAGGAGAAATGAGTCAGCATATTACATCTAACTGTTAAGACGGCGACAAGGAGAAAAGTGTGAAGACTGTGAAGGTGCGGCAAGATTGTTGATAATTGGTGAGAAAAGGAAATAGAAGATGAAGAAGGAGAAGGAGAAGGAGAAAGAGTTGGTATAATAGAGTGACAGAAAAGGACAGGATCAGAATCGAAAGGAGAAGAAGTGAGGGCTGACATTGCCGTGTTTCAACAGTAAGAGGAGCCAATCGGATGACTGCTTGAACTGTAAAAGAAAGGAAAGAATTTTTTAAAAAAAATTTGATTTATATGCCGCCCTTCTCCGGAGACTCAGGGCGGCTTACAATGCGTTAAGCAATAGCCTTCATTCTTTTGTATATTTTATACAAAGTCAGCTTATTGCCCCCACAAACTGGGTCCTCATTTCACCTACCTTAGAAAGGATGGAAGGCTGAGTCAACCTTGAGCCTTGGAGAGATTCGAACCAGCAGAAATTGCAGGCAGCTGTGTTAATAACAGGGTGCACTAAACCACTGTACTATCAAGGCTCTGAATTTATTTTTGTTCCAGTTGAACTTTCGAATAGAGGATCCAAAGGACACTGAGGTGAAATTAAAGTGCAAGTGGGAAGAAAAGTGATCCAAGGAACTATATAAAACCTATAAAATTATATACTAACTACACTGCTGAGGCACAAGAGACTTGGGAGGAGTCAAGAGCGGTACTTGAAAGTAAGCACCAGAGAAGACACAAGATTTATACCCCTAAGAAATTGGTTGTCTGAATCATAATGTATATTCAATCCATTTTATAACTTTCTTATAATCAAGTGATCAAGTGAATAATTGTGAATTAATCAAGAAGATTTAATTATATTTATATCTTATAATAATAATTATATTAATTGCAAATATTAGACTGTAGTAATATTGATAAAATTTATACCTTATAAGGAGTGTAAAGTTTATAGATATTAGATATAGATAATATAGATTTTGTGAATATATGAAGTATTGATAATTGATATTAATTTGTTTAACTTAGTATAAATTGAGATTTATGTTTTTGAATTAACTTGAGATATATATCTACCTGACTGCTAATAGATACCCTAATCCTAATTGCTAGTTTTGATTCTAAAATTGATATACATATATTGTTCAGTGACCTAAGGTAGTTTGATTAATTAATATAGAGTATTGATATTGTTATTTATCTTACCTGCACTTTTGTATATTTATAGCTATATTAATAATAATAACAACAATAACAACAACAAGTAGATAGTATTTAGTTGATGACAGTGTGGAAAAATATTTATAAGATTTTTGGAGAGCAAAGCAGAGTATTGAAAGAGATGACCAGTATTACAACAACAACCTTAAAGACAGGGGGGAAAACAGCCTCGAATCCAATGATAACAATGGCATCTCCTTAAACCAATAATCAACTGAGGGGCCTTCAAAGGCGGAAAAATCTACAGCTCCAAATATGCAAACAATGCAAGCCACCCTGACGTTGATTCAAGAGACAATGGTAAAGATGCAAGAAAAGATGTTCAGCAACCATGGCAAAATGAAAGTCGATATTCAAAAATTAGATAGTAAAATGAACTCAATCCAGGAAGCAATTCAGAAGAAAGAACAAAAAATAAAAATTGTAGAAGCTAAGGCTGAGCAAACTGAAAAAAAATTGGATCAGGTAGATCAGAAGGTGATGGCCCTAAATAAAGACCTCGAGGACTCTGTGATTCAGCTGGAAATGGACAAGGCATTGTTCTATTTGAGATTCCAAAACGTGATTGAAGCAAAAGATGAAGATCTTGGACAGACAATGGCAGAGATTATAGCAGAATGTTTACAGAGGGATAAACAAGAAATTGTGATGGAAATAGACAAGGTATATCGAATTCAAACGAATTATGCCAGACACCATAAACTGCCCAGAGAGGTCCATATCAGATTTGTTAGAAAGAGGGTCCGTGACATAATATACAAAATAATCCAAGAAGAACCTATGATTTACAGGGGAAAGGAAATCACATCTTGAAACAAGTTCCTAGAAGAGTTCGAGAGCAGCGTAAAGACTATCGCTTCCTGGCTATACAACTGAGCAAACAAAATGTTATGTTTAGATAGGGTTGCCAGGTCTGCTTCCAAAAAATAGCGGACAAGCGGGAGGGGGAAGGGGGGTTTAAGTAGTAAAAAAATCAAAAAAAATTACAATTAAATTATATATTTTCTTATGTATTTCTTTTAACACATATTAAAATAATCACTTCAAAACTTTACTTAAAATTCAAAACATCAAATATATTATAATAATATGTAAAATATTAAATTACATTTTACTTTGCTGTTGTGTGTATTTTTTATTTGACTGCGCAGCTTTGATAAATTCTTTGTGTTTAAGGAATAATTCTTTAATTTCAGTACAACGTTGAGAAATATTAAAAAATATACAAAGTTCACTTCGAACTGATGGTACAAGCAGTCAGTTACGTTTGTCAGTCCAAAAATTTCCCATGACGCTGAAAATTTGTTCAGCGTTTGTATTTGATACCGGAATTGATGCATAATACTGGAACAGTTTCAGTAAACTCGGAGCTGGCTCTTTCTTGAAAAAGTACGTCCACTTATCAAGGGATGAATCACCCTGCAGATGAACATAAACTTCTTCTAAGGCAGAAATTTCATCGAAGAGAGTGTTGGGTGGAAGTTCTTCTCACCATGGTGAAAATAACCAGATGTTCATCATTTCTTCTAAAGTTGGAGGATTATTGCGATCAATTAGATTGAAACTTAGCATCTCATATACTGAATCAGTGAAATTATACCACTTTTCTAGCTAC